AAAAATTAGATTGACGTTTTAAGAAATTTGAGTTCAAGTACCCGTTCTGACCCTGTTTGTCTGTTTAAGTAAGAAAAACTCATTTTCATTTCTGGGCCACAGAAAGGTAAATGTCATCCGCAAAATCTAAGAGTGGACGATGGTTTGAGGCTAGAATGGTTCTTAAGTATCTTTAGAAACAACATTCGTTGGATGCCTCCTTCCCCACCCCTTAGGAGGACCTTTGGCCTTAGGAGACTTGTAGAGATAATTCTGATATACTGTTCATGACATTTACTTCCATGTTTTAGAAAAAACATGTTCTTGGAATATTCTTGGAATATCTCATTTCCTTGGAAAACAATTCATGGGTGAGTCAGCACGAAGGAAAAAACCCACTCACAATGGATATCAAAATTGCATGAGATGGTGAAATGAGAAATGATTTTCTTTGCAAACTTGAATGAGGTATAGAGAAACCAATTATTTATTTATAAAATGATTGCAGGGTGGAAGGCAGAGCTAACCGCTCTTACTAATACGCTGTTACATATTTACCAAGGCACGGAGGGTATCAGGGAGTCCTCTCCGTGCTGCCTTAAACCTGCTATGACCATGAACGTGCCTCTCAGTGAGAAAGAAAGAAAATGCGTGTTCGGAGGCAGACGAAGGAAGGAAGGAAAGAAAGGTTAAAAGCCTCTCCTTCAGCCTCAGTCTGTCCTCTCTGGCAGTAGATTATTAAGGGAATTTCCTCCTGCAGCCGGGGAACGCCAGGTGGCCGTTTGCACGTCATTGTCAGGGCATCCAGGGATTTTGCTCGCTCAGGGCTCAGGAGGTGACTTCCCCACTCCTCCAGCGGATCCCTGCGGGACTCTTCGCCTCCGCCCGGGGCGAAGGCCAGGGGCGGGGAGGCTCGGCACCCGGGCGGGGGCGCAGCGGCCGGAGGAGGGCGCGGAAGCGTTTCCTGGGTGAGCCCGGCGGCCGGGCCTGTTTCCGGAAAGCGGATTGCATCAGGTGTGAGCAGGGCGCCTCCTCGGCCCAACCTGGCGGCCACTGCGCCTGCGCGCGTCGCCCCGCCCTGCCTCTGCGGACTCCACCGCGGGTTTTCCTCCCGCTCCGGAGGAGACCCAGCGGGAGGGGCGGGCGCCACACACTGCCCCGGGACCCCGGGGAGAGGGGGACTGCCAGGTGGGGGTCTGGGAATCCTAGTGGGAACTGCGGGGTCCGAGCGATTAGAGAGCTATGGGAAGAGGACCTTCCTGCCTGGTTGGAGGCTGGTAAATCTGTGCTACTGACAGCGTGGTGGTCCCGGGCTGATTTCCTCACTTGTGGGCCTGAAGGACGTCTACTAGAACCACAGAGATTTCCAGTTCACAGAATCTGTGTTTTCTGTAAGAGGGCTATTGCGGCCCTCGACTGTCCATGGTCCACAGGCTCCATAGGTGTATTTTGGGGTGCATAGCCTCCGACCCAAAGAAGTGAGCACTTACAGGGATTTCTTAGGGGTTTCTCTGTGACAATATTATCTTTCCGTTGCAGGAAGGAGCAATATGATTGTTGGCCTCCAGCTGGGTCTGGGGAAAATAATTGTTCGTTGGGGGCATTATAGGAGTGCACAAGCTAGAAACCCGTCTCCCCCAAGGCAGCACCCCCCGCTCTGACTCTGCATAAGGGTCCCATTATACACCTTGTGCATCTCCCTCCTAGCCCGCTGGCTCCATTTTGAAGTGACTGACGGGTTTGAGTTATTTGATGGATGCTTGTTAACCTGTTATCCATGAAAGCAGGGGCTTGGGGTTTTTATTAATAATTCACCTCTCTTTCCTGGTTTAGTTCAAGATCTTGTAGATCCTCAATAAATTGATGATGTGTGAAAGAATAAAAGAATGCCTACACCCACTGCATAGAGGCCTCACATGAAGAATAAGGAAGGGTGGGGAATGAGTTTATTATTTGAGGTCATAGGGATGGCTGTCTTTGTGTATTTGTGTATGTGTAGATTTCTACAAGTGCCCTCAAACCAGCAGCACGAGCATCACATGGTTAACTTTTTAGATGTATCACCCACGCTATCTAAGACTCAGGAATTGAGACCCAACAATCTGTTTCAGCATGCCCTCCAGGTGATTCTGATTCAGGCTCCAGGGTGACAACCCTTCCCTGATGAAGAGCAACCCTAAGAGCTCCTTTGGAAGCACTGTTTACCACTTACTTACTGAGAGTCCGTTCTTAGCAGGGCCTTGCTTGTACACAATTTACAAACTGTAAATTGGAGTTATCGGTGGGTGGAGGAGTGCTTTTCTTTTCCAGCAGGCGTGCTTTTCCCTATGTGTCATTTTGTTGTGATTTCCAGATCAAAGAATTGTGCGTGTGCGTGTGCTTGTGGAGTGGGGATAATGAGGCAGATGGAAGAAGAAGGTCCTGCCTACAACTTGCCGTTAGCCTGGGTGGGTGTGGGCACTTCTTATCTGGGGACATTTTCCCATTGCAAGGGAATGCAGACATGTAGGAGAAAAGCTGGAGATAAGGTTACCCAAATGCCTTTTGGTGCAAACAAACGCCAGACCACGTGGAGGGGATACCAGTCTGCACCGCACCGCCAGCCTTTGCGTGTCAGTCTGGTATCGTTGCCTCTGCGGTCTTCCCCGGAGACTGGGGCAGCGCGCTTCCCGAAGGCCCGGCAGTCTCCACCTGCAGGGGTCGCACTGGGAGCGCGGCCCGCCCCCTTCCGCCCGGCCCCCGCCCCCGCCCCCGGCCCCGCCTTTCTCCAGTCGGGCCTCCGCCCCACCGGGTCCCTGCAGCCTCCCTTCGCGCAGCCGCCGCCAAAGCCTGGAGAAGTGGAATCTCGCCGGCGCCGCTCCTTGCGCGGGACTCGCGGAGCGGTACTGGGCATGCTCAGTCGCCGGAGCCCGATCTGGTCTCAAGTAGGAAGCGCGTGCGCTGCACCCGCAGCTGATCGGGCGCTCCCGGGAGGGCGAGACTGGAGCAGAGCCGCCCGGCACCGGAGCTGAGGCTATAGCCGCGCGCACCGCTGGTAAGCCCTGCTTTCTCCATTGCTTCTGCCCCGAATCCGGGGCAGCCTGGGAGCGCCGGGGAGAGAACTGGGCAGCGGAGGCAGCGTGCGGCTAGTGGCTCCGGGTACCCCGGCGGCTGCTTCCCTCCCTGCTCCCAGCCCCAGGACTGCGTGGCCACTGCTGCCCACTCAGCCGCAGCCACAGCTGCAGCAGCTGCCGCCGCATCTGCAGCGGACACCCGCTGCGGAGTCCCGTGTGCCCTGCGCCCGCGCCGCAGGGCCGGTGGCACGGTGACTGCGGGCTCACTCCTTGACTTCCATCCTTCTTGCTTCCCGGCGCCCTCTTTCCAGCAGCAGCCCAGGCTTGGCACGGCCTGGGCGGGGGAGACAGGGTTGGAGGCCGTGCGCCCGGGTGGGGACTGCGGAAGGAAAAGTGAGGGTGGGCGCCGCGGGGAGAGCTCACGCCCCCTTGCCCTGGCACCGGCCTCCACTGCGCGCCTGGGCTGTCCTTCCCGGGGCGGCTGCGCGCTCCTCCCGGGGAGTTGGAGCCGGGGCCGCCTTCTCGGCTTGGGATTCAGAGACCAGACGCCGAGAAAGTAAAGGGGGGAAAAGTTCATTTTCCCCCTTGGAGGTAGGAGAGCCTTTAACTAGAAAATGGCTGTGCCAAGGGGACCAAAGCAAGGAAACTGGCTACCCGGTCTCGAAAGCCCCTCTACGGTCCGGCGGGAGGAATGGAAGGTTGGACGCCAGAAATGACATTTGTGCGGTGAGAACGGAGCCGGCGCGAGGGAGGGATGCCGAGTCCCGTAAAAACAATGAAAGGTGTTCTTAACAGTGGCTAAGAGGTCTAGAACCAAAGGGGGGTCGGGGCAAAGAGCAGAGGGAGCGTGGGTCTCCAGTTTTTAAAAAGAATTACTTGGAGAAATCAGATTTTGAGTTGTGACCGTTTTGTAGTCAAGTTCTGCGCAGTTTCAGAACCAAGACTGTCACAGACGTTTTTGGTTGGATTGGGTGATTGGGGAAGGCCAGAATTGGGAGGAGAATAAGGTCACTGTTGGAAGCTCCGACAAGACTGGGCTCTCCAGGGGACAGTTTTTTTCCGAGAAGTCCCTCAGTCACTAACTTTTCATTGTGCTTGATGACTTAAATGAAACACTTGAAGAATTATAAAATGATGCCAGCGTTGGCATTTGGATTCCAAGAAATGAGTAAAGTTTGTGAGGTTGGCATTGGTTTGTTGTTGGTTCTACAGTTTCACGATTTAAAAACCAAAGAATGGCAGTCTGATCTATTGTTTCTGGCTTTTGATCTCTTAAATCTTTTTTCTTTTTCTTTTCTTTCTTTCTTTTGAGACAAGAGCCTCACTTTGTCGCTCTGGGTAGAGCGCTGTGGTGTCACAGCTTGCAGCAACCTCAAACTCTTGGTCTTAAGTGATTCTCTAGCCTCAGCCTCCCAAGTATTTGGGACCACAATGCAGGTGCCGCCTTCTAAAATCTTTTTTCTTATCATGGATTTATATTTCAAATCGTGTCCTCAGATGGCCATGATAATTAAGAGTGTAGGAATACGTGTAGCTGACTTTTAAGGAACAGACAGAATCCTTGAGAGGGGATTTCTTTAAGAACTTAGGTAGCAGCCTTGCCATGTTGCAATTTGTAGCTTGAAAGCAGTATTTGTTCAACAGTTTTTTTTTTATCATAACTTGCAGCATTCTAGAAATGGGGTGGTTTTGAAAGGGTGATGTTTGTCAGGAGGATGGGGGAACCTCCAGGCTGAGGGAATGCTCAGAGAACACAGGTGGCTGTGGAGTCCAGGGGGCTGATCCTGGCTGTGGGGGGAGATGCAAGCTTCGTATTGCTGTCCGTTTGTTCTCTAGATGACCCTACAAAATCACCCACAGTCTTCATAAACCTAGAATGTAACTATGTCCCTAGATATATGCTCAGAGTCATTGAGAAAGGACTCTAAAGACCAGATCCTTTCCCAAGGAAGGTTTTTATGTCCTATATTTTTATTCCCTCCTCAGTTGTATACTTTTAACTGAATAATTCACCTTTAAGGAGCCAGCATGATCCTTCTTGCTGAACCTTTTATAAAGTAGTAGTTGAAAAGCTTGATGAGCTCAAGTGTGAGGGAGGGCTGCTTTAATTTAGCTGGAGTAACATGAATACTGGCTACAAAATTATTTGGGAAAAGACTGTTACATATCGCAAGAATCCACATGGACAAACAGAATATTCTAGCATAGCTACTCTTTTTATGTCATGCTTCAACTTTGTGGTTACTGTTTTCTTTTCCTGCCGCCAGAGAGACAGCAGCAAACATTGAATTGTTTTTCTGTTCCAGCAGGAATACTGAAAGCCTTGCTGTAATATTAGATTAGTGTTAATGTTGATTACCCTGATTACTGGATATCTAAATTTATCTTTTAAGAAAAATGGAATATTATGCCTCTTCCCTTTTCAGTTAAAATAGACAATAGTTTTGTGATATAACACCTTAAGTTTTCCAAGGAGATAGGGAAGATTTAGGAAAAGTATTGTAGTAAATTATTACTTTTATGTGAGCGATACTCATTTTGCCACCTAGGACGCTAGCATTTGTTCAGTGGTTATTATGTATCAAGCTTCATATGAAGCTCTGTATACATACTATCTTATGCTATAAACATCTTTGCATCACTGTCAGCTGCCTAAGAAAATTCCTGTGAGGGGGTCGGTGCTCTACTGATTGCATAGTAATAGAACTTTAAAGTTTTATCTCATATGAGATACCTTCATTCACTGAAGTTCCATTGTTATTCATTAAGCATTCTCTTTTAAAACATCTTTGGTTTGTTATTTCGAGTTAAATTTAACTGCAACAGCATGTCTTCAGAATGATTTGAATGTTTTCAAGAAGCTTCTGTCCAGATTTTAAAACTATTTTGTGTTCATTTATTTTCAACAGTGTTGTACTACCAACAAATAAAATCGAATGTAAGGGAGATTAATCCAGATTGCCTGCTTTTAATTTTAATGTGTTATTAGTGCATATTCTGCATGTTGATGTGGGTTGCTGGCGTTGCTCTCAGCTGAAATGGTTTCTCAGAGACAGAACCACAAATTCTCCATAATAAACGGTCTGGTGGGACTTGTAGGAACAACCCCCAACCAGGATTGCAAAGACTTGCCTCTGGGGTTGGCATATCCCTTACCTTAATTCACTGTGTGGCCTTCGAAAAGTCATTTCACATCTCTGGGCCTCAGTTTTCTCATCTGTAAGCTGAGAAAGTTGTGGTCACCTTCTGGCTGTCTACAGGGCCCTTCTTGTCCCAGGCCACAGGTTTGCGATGCAGACATTTGGGGACGGAGGGCTTCATTTAGATGTAGGGGTGTCCAGCCTTTTTTCTTCTCTGCTGCACCTTGGAAGGAGAGTAGTGGTCTTAAATACACAGACACTAATGAAAGCTGATAAGCAAAAAAAGGTCCTGCATAATTTTCGGAATGTCCAGCACCACAGATAAATAAAACTCACATAATCTGCATGCGGCCTGCAGGCCACAAGTTGGACACCCCTGTAAAGCATTAGATGTAGCTGACTTGGGATTTCTCCAAGTCTGACCTGTTGGATTTCCTTCCTTCTTTGGCCAATTCCTACCTCCCTTCTAGTTTTCATTTGTCATAAAATTAACTGCTTGTGGGTACGCCAGTCTAGATAGGAGACAAGGTAATGATTAGATTTGGGTAAAGTGTATTAGGTCTTTGAAACCATTTTGATTAATAGATTGATTGATACAGGGTCTCAATCTCTTGCCCAGGCTGCAGTGCAGAAGTGCAATCATAGCTCACTGTAGCCTGGAATTTCTGGGCGCAAGCCATTCTCTTGCCTCAGCCTCCTAAGTAGCTGGGAATACAGGTGTGCACCACCACACCCTGTCAGTTTTTTAATATTTTTTGTAAAGACAGGTTTTGCTGTATTTGAACTAACCTTGAACTCTTGGCCTCAAGCGGTCCTCCTACTTGGCCCATAGTGCTGTGCATCTTCTGATGGAGACTTTCTGCTTTGGGCACACACAATCTGAGAAAGAAGCATTGCTTTGGCCACAGAGGAGGGTGTCCTATACTTTGGTGCCCAAGCCCACCTGTGTGAACTTTTGGCAAGCCTTCCCTGTGTCCTGGCCTCTGTCCTCCGTCATGATTAGAAATACAGCTCTTGGTTTGTCAGCACCATCAGTGTATTGGGCAGGTGCTTACCTGCTGCCTTAGCAGGAGTGGTAGCTGATGGAATGCACCTGCTTGGTGTCATTAGCAGGATCTTGATTTTGTTTTTGGCTTGGCAATCTGTGATGGGGCAGAGAACAAAGGAAACCAATCCCGTTTGGTGTTTTAATGCACTTGGCTTTCAAGATGGTCACAAAACCCTGCTTCATTCACCTTTAAGTGGGGCAGATGAGGAAGGAGTAGCAGCCACAGTTGTCACTGCATTTAAGTAATTGATAATAGTGACTCTGCTGCCTCAGTCATAACCAAGCTCCAGGGTTCCTGGACCCCTGGATAGTTTGGAATGGGACAGTAACTCCAAACATTAGATGAGAGCTGTGGGGGAGGAAGGGCATAGAGTGTGGAAGGTCAAGTCATTGTAACTTGGCAAAAAGGAAGAAGCCTGGATCGGGTGAAAGGTATTAGAGGTCTCTGGGTGTAGAGTTAGAAGACGTAGTCCCTTTCTATACAGTCTGTTTCCATAATGTTTGAATCTTGTCTTCTGTAATGGACATGCAGTTCTTTTATAATCAGGAAAAAGTCCCAATGTATAATTTGCTGGTATATAAAATGTATGGATTCATATGGACAAAGATGGGACGAGAACATGAAAAAAAGTGAGTGATGTCGAATGATGGATTAAAGTTACTGACTTGACAGTGATTGTAAAGTTAACCTTTCTCTCCTTTCCTCCTGTGGAAATTTTCTCTGCTAGGTAATAACTAAAGTTTCTAAGGTCTAACTCTGCTGACTAGCAGGTTTCAGGAATGCCTGGAGTGG